GTGTGCAATCAGAACCCATGTGCCAGAGCAGTAGAAGTGCCTGGGAGGAATGGAAGGGCTTCAATTTAAAGAAATACTAGCCATCTAATTATGGTAGTAGGTTCTAATTTTGAAGTCTCTTGCCATTTTTTTTATTAATTTTATTTTTGACAGTCTTGACATAATTAGGGTAAAAAGGTTCAAGCACTACAGGAAGATGGGTAAGACAATTAGTTCCGTATTGTTTCCTTAATATATCTGATCTAAAAGGAGATTTTAAGGGAGAAGCTCCACCCAGTCTCCCACCCACCCCAGGTCCCGGATGTGGGGCATGCTCTGAGGGTCTTGCTCAAGTGGTTCTGATAATTCAACAGTTCTGAATTGCTGCCACTCTCACCACTCCAAGCACGATGCGGTTGTTGGAGATTCCACTGATTGACATAGTCCATCATAGCGTCTCAGTTTGCCCAGTATTTTCATTGCCAACATATAGCTGAGGTGATTGATTGACTTGTTCTGTCCTCTGCCATTTGATGGTTAGCGTTCTGAGTCTGAAAGCTCGATTGGGGGGATCCCCAAAGAAACTCTGTCTGAGGTGTTCCCAGACCAGACTATTATATGTGCTAGCAAGCACAGGGCCCAGTACAGTCCATCGCCCCGATCAGCTGGTGGTTGCAGTTGCTGGGTTGGTTCTGTTTCCATCCCTGTCTTCCTCTGGAACCAATGGGTGTTTGCAGTCCAGCCTGGTTCTGCCCAGTGCATACTCAGCCCTCACACAAACCAGTGGGAGCTGCACGGTAGCCTGAGAGACCCACAATAACTCCAACCAGGCCTGCCCCCTACCCTGGTTTGTTAGTATGTGTAGCAGAGTAGTGCAGTCTGTCCCACATTCCCTTCTGCTCTCATACATGTCAATGGGCATTAAAACCTTGTTCCATCTAACCAGCTCAACTGTCCAGCCTTCACGGATGTTGTTGGGTGTCTGTCTAGCCACCCCAGCCCCTGTCCTAGTTTTCGTGCCCTCCCGTGGGGGGTGGCAACCCAAGAGGGAGGAGCCCACTATTTCCCTCCCAGGCCACTCCCACTCCCAGATTATGCACTCTCCAGGTGGTTCTGTGATTTAATTTGACAGAATTAGCCCCCAGTGCCAGATTCTGCGAGCTGATGCTGTGGCTTAGCCCCAACAACCCTCACCCACTCTAATCATAGGTTGCACCAGTAGGAATAATCAGCCCAGCCTGGTTTTTCCCTGCTCTGGTCCACATGAGGAGCGCAGGTGTCGTAGCCTGGCCTAGTCTGGTCTACCCCCATCCCAGCTCATGCTCTCCAGTGGGAGTGGCTGTTCAGCAAGGGAACCACCCCTTAATCCCCTGCTGGTTCTGCCCCCTCCCTTCTTGGTTCTCACATGTGCTGGTTGGGCGCTGCGATCACATCTGGCACAGGCAACCTCACCTTGGCATTCCGTGTTGTGTACTGCTTTTTATCATGACCAAACCTGGCTCGACCCACACTCTGTTCTGGCATTCGGATTTGCTAGTGGATGACGTGAACTGATTCAGACCCCAACCCATGTCGAATGTATGCCAATGGGACATTCCATGACCTCTTGGCTATATCCTTCTATCTTTCTTATGCTTACCTGCAGGGTCTGTGTCCTGCCAGAGGAGTTGCCTGGGCTCCTCCATCAGAACCCCTCCAAGTGCCAGCTTTCGTGCATACCAGTGGGTCCATGAGCCAGTACTACTCAGTTTGCCTCCTGTCCTAGCAGGAACAGTGGCTTTTCCTAACTGGCCTTCAACCCATTCTGGTTCTTGCTGTAGGATGTTTCAGCCCAGCCATAGCTTGTCCATACCCACATATAGCTCATATATGGCTCAGTTGGGGTTGAGACCTAGCCTAGTCCGTCCCACATCTACCCTGGTCCTCCAGAACACCAGAAGGTGTTGCAGTCTGGCCTGGCCTGGTGCGTCTTGTCCCAGTCCACACTTGTGCCAAGGGAGACTACAACTGTATCCTGACCAGAACGCAGCCCCATTCCAGCTCGTGCACCCCTTGGTGGGAACCTCCACCCAGCTAGGGTGTCCCCTTAGCCCCCCAACCAGGCCTGTTCCCAGCCATAGATTGCACACATGCCAGTGGTTGCTCTGACTCAGCTTGGCACAGCCCCTCACCTGTCACGACCCCTGCCTTAGACACTGTGGCTCAGCATCTGTGGCTCATGCAGACCAGTTGGTGCAAAAACCTAGCTGGGCATGTCCTGTGCTCCACTCTGGTTTCCAATCTTACTTGTGGGCTAAGGTTTGCTCAGTACTGCCCAGTGCACCTGTTCCATTGCCTTTTCATACATTGATGAGCTGTTGGTGCTACTTTGCCCAGCCTGTCCAACCCCCAGGTCCAGACCACCTATTCACCAGTGGGAGCTATAACTTGCCAGGGGAGCTTCCCAAGTTTCTTCCCCTGATCCCCCCCAGACCCAGTTCTCATACATGCCACTGGTCTTTAGGCCAGTGCCTGGAACAGTCGGTCCCCCACCTTGTCTTTGCATGAGCTGGTGAACGTTGCGATCTGGCCCACCCCACACCCACCTCAGGATGCACATTCGAGTGCCACTGACCCAACTAGTCCAGACTGCCATTGGTTCTCCAATCTGTGGTCAATGGCAAGCTCCCCAGTCACACCTAGCTTAGTCCACCACGATTCCATCTCGAAGTAACCTGTAGGGCTAGCATTTTCATAGGGTTTGGCCCACATATCTCCCACAGAATCTTCCCCCGTATATGGTTCTCCAGCGTGTTAATTAATCTCATGGCCCTACTTAGTGTGACCAGTCTCTGCTGGGTCAGTTCTGTTTCCAGCTTTGTCATTCACTTGGACCAATGGATATTGTGGTCCATCTTGAGCATCTTGAGCCTACCCACTTCATACTCGGTCCTCACACAAACCAGTGGGAGCTGCAGCTCAGCTGGAGCAACTCCCATAACCCCCACCAGGCCTGCTCCCTTCCCTAGTTCCCATGTATGCGAGTATGTACTGCAGGCTTGTTCAGTCTGTCCCTCCTCCCATTAAGCTCTGGTACTTATCAGTGGGCATTGAAGCTTAGTTCGACCCAACCAGCCCACTATCCAGCCCACACACATACTGGCAGGTGCCCTTCTGTTTAGCAACCCTGCCCCTGTCCTGGTTTTTGTGCTCTCCAGTGGGAGTAGTTACCCACGAGGGAGGTGTGCTGCCATTTTTTTAAAAGAAAATGATCTTTTTACTATTTCTGAATCTCTAATTATCAACATTTTAAAATCTCTAGGGTCTCAAGGAATCTAGCAGCATAGGCAGTAATTAACACAAACCAAAGAAAAACACGGATCTAGAAGCAGATGCTGTGATATCACTTCAGTCTCAACCAGTGACTGGCCCTGATGGCTGTGTTCAGATCTCATAACAAACCCACTATATGAGAACAAATGGGACATGTTTTCTTTGCCCGTTTTGCTCCTCTGGCCTCCTTCAAACTAAGTGAATTGGAGTACCATGCAGTTCTGTTGAACACATGTGTTTGAGGCAATTTACCTGCGGCAAGCTGTCAATTTTTGCTATCGAATTTTCCACCTTGCTGCTCTCCTGAGTTTATGTCATGAAGAAGACAAGACTGTAAAAACATGCCTGGGAATAAAAGCAAGAAAACAACCCCACTCTAAAACAATTAGACTAAAAACAGGCATCCTGACTTCACTGGAGTTTTTTCTGCTTTGGAGATAAAGATCTCAAAGAGTCTGAGAGACACATGGCAATATTGCCCAGCAAAGGTGGCTGTCATGATAGCTGCTCTACCTTTTTGATTTTTTGCTCATGGAAAAAAGGTTCCATTATGGAATACTGTTGTGCATGTACTTCAAGTATCATTTTAGCAATACTAGCTCTCCTCTTTATTTTTTTTAAAAAAATTTAATTTAGTCATTGCAGAGAAAGAGAAATTGAGGAAGTTCCCGTCCTCTGGTTCACTACCCGTGGGTCCCCAAGAGTTAGGATTGGGCCAGAAACTCCATTTTCTCTCATACAGATGAGAGATCCAGGTCCTAGAGCTGTAACTGCTATGTCTCTGGGTGTGCACTGGGAAGCTGGAATTGGAAGCAGAGCTAGGTCTCAAGCCCAGTGACTGTGACATGATACACTGAGTTAAATGCGGACCCTCTTTTTATGTTGGCTGGAGGTGAACCCAGGAAAGTTTCAGTCTAACCCCCCTACCCTGTTCTTTGGATGCAAATGTCCTGGAGCAAATCTGTAAAAAGGGCTATGAGATACTTATCCACAGAAACTGCAGATTCTGCTCAGCTGCCTGTTGGACCTCTTTGGAAGAGCAACTAAAAATGGGTAGTCATGCTTGGTGATGTCTTGAGCACTATTTGAATGTAAAGTGGTATGATTTAAGAAGCATTTTTAAACAAAATGATATTTGTCATGTGTGGGTCTTAGTGATGGTCTGCGGTGCCTGCAGCTTTTACAAAGGTTTTTAATATACATGGAAAAAATTAAGCAAATCATTATCCCTATTGAATTTCCAGAAGCCCATAAACACTGGAATCTTATTGGATAGTTTAGTGGTTTCTATAGCTCATCGTGCCAAGAAGGAGTGGAATGCAGGTTTGAGGTTTGGCATCAGGCCTGGATTTTAGTGGTTACATTGTCTTGTTCCCAGTTTGCCTCAAACCCCATGCAACCTTGGCTGCTTCAATGAGGAGGCTGTCCATCAACTGTGGCAAAAGAAGATCATTTAGTGAGTTCCTTTATAGGTTATCTCCTAATCAGGACCATGCAAAAATGGACTTTGTGTGCCTTTTGCCCCTTATTCTAACACAGTGAAATGATGGGATTCTCTCAGTTGCTATATCTGTGTCTCATGTGCAGTAGTCTAGACCTTCCTCTGTGTTTCCATTCAGACAATGAAAGAATTGTTTCTGGTGGTAAGACAAAATGATCACTGTATTTTTCCCATGATCCACCTCATCAGTGATTTTTTTTTTCAACAGGTGGGTCAGAGAGTTTTTGAACGAAGAAAATAAAGGTCTTGATTTTCTAGTGGAGTATCTGTCATTTGCACAGTATGCAGTAACGTAAGTAAACCTGGGATTGCCTGCATTTGAATTTTATGTGGTCACAGAAGATGGTACTCTATGGTTAAGTTATACACCACAATAAACAAGGGACACACCAGCAACATGTAATGTTTAAGGGGGAGTTGTTCTGTTTGGGAAATAAAATGAAATCACATAACTGGTGTCTAAAAAAATGCCTCCAAGGCAGAATGAGAGCAGATGGGTAGAAGTCTTCCTTAAAGGAGACTTTATTTGCAAAATAAAGCTTATAAATCTAAATATAGTACCCCCGCAGTTACTGAAAGAGATAGATGTGATAACTGAAGGTATTTTAAAAGCTTACATTGGAAAAAGTGTTTTAAAACCTGTGCATGCAAAGGAGCTTCAGAAAGTTCATGGAAAAAAATGTGCTTTGTGGAAAAACCCCTATGCATGTATTTCAGTTTTGCTGCAGCAAAATAAACTTATCTGTTAATTCCATTTTCTATGTATTTTACCTTTTTTATTTCTTTACATGACAGAGAAAGCTCTCATTCACTGATTCTGTGCTCCAAACTACTATAGCAGTGATCAGGACTGGGCTCTGCTGAAGCCTGGAACCTAGAACCCAGTCCACACCTCCCATGGGGATGACAGGAACTCAATCTTTTGAACTGTCAGCCAGTGCTTCTCCTGGTCTAGATGGGTGGGAATGGTGTCAGGAGCCTAAGCCAGGAATCCAGCCCAAACACTACGATATGGACCATGAATGTCTTAGCTGCCAGGTTAAATGCCCTTTTCCCTTCACAGATTTGTGTGTACTGTTGTAACATTGAGTAAATAAAGGAAGATGCTGAAGAGTGACTCTTTTTTATTTGAAAATAGTATAATGTATGTCTAGTAAATGCATAGACAGTCATTATAGAAAGCACTGGAGGAGGAAGGGGCAGCCAGAGACTTGGTCTTTTGTGTTACATGTATCTGTGTTGCTATAATTATCTGGCAAAAACCTGAGAGAGAAAATAACTGGGAGAGAGCAGGGTGTGTGTGTGTGTGTGTGTGTGCGCATGTGTGTCCCCGTGTCTGTCTTGTTTTTGTTATTTCATGAAATTGTTTTCTTGGCTTCTGAAATATTACAAGAAAATTGGAAGATATGTATTTATATGAAACGTTACCTTTTTCTTTAATCAAATGTTCCAATATCCACAGATAAACTGTCACACATAGGCTGAGGCAATAGTGTACTTGACTATAACATATTGCAACACAGGTATTGTTTTTCTTCTATTCGTAAAGAAAAAAAAAACTTGATTTTTGTATCGCACCATTGCAAGAGTTGGTCTTAAGACCTACCCAGATGTTATCCTGTAATCTCCATTACTTCCCCAAGAATCTGTGAAGAGAAAGCTATAATTATTCCTGCTTTACAAATTCAGAAACCAAACTGTTTGCTGAAACTGGCTAGATGGATTTTTCATGCCTCATATATTAGATAGTAGAGGCTTAGGAGAATTTATAGACAAGGGCTTATCTTTCTCAGAAACAGTCCTCTGCAGCATAATCCTCGTTTTCATAGCTGAAATCTCTGAGTTTTCATATTATGGAACAAAATAGAGTATTTTCATGCTGTCTATTTTAAAGAGTAAGATTGACAAAAAGTCAGGGAAGAAGGCATTGATGGATGAGAATTACATATTCCAGACTCTGTATTTGCTGCAATGAAGCTTTATTCACATGAGAATAGAGCTTTTTTGAATGAGCTCTCTCAAATGCACCCTAACCTAGCACCAACAAGGAGAGTGTGCTACCATACAAAAATTAATACAATCTGTAACATAAGACAGTGACCCATGAAAGATCACAAGTCGGACTTTCGTTTCCTGGCTTGGTATCTGTTTTTTTAAACATTCTTTTTGTTTGTTTCGGTTTGTTTCAATTTCGTAATAAATTATAGAGAGGTACAAAATGTGTTATCTTTCTTAAAACTAATGGGCTGGAAATTTTGTTACTTCTCCTTGTTATGTAGCAACTTCCTGCACTGTGGAATGTGAGGCAGCAGGTTTGTGTTCTAACCTTAGCAAAAGTCTTCAATAAGTTAACTGTTGGCTTTTCCACTGTGTCAAAGGGCACACGTGCTCAGAGGAACTTACTCTCTGATCAGCTGAATTATGTGGGCGCCTGTTACCAATGGCAACACCGTAAATAATCTCATCACGTCATCTGAGTTCGTCTTATCCAAACTCAATAATAGCCTTCAGTTTTTAGTAATTAAGGCTTTATGAAATTATGCTATTCTCCCTGATTTCTGTTCAGCATTGCCTTTTGCATCCCAAGACAGATGAGATTGATCAAACCCCCTCTACTGACTTTACCTCAATCTGTGCTGTCCAGTTAGTCCCTAAAAATGGAGTATTACATAGTTTTTACATGGACATTATAACCAAATATTTTATTCTTGCAGTCATCTTTTTATTAAAACTCCTATTGTAAATTTCAGTATGAATTACTGCTTGTTTTTCTTCTGCAATCTCTAAAATCTTTCAGGGGATGCTATTGATTGCTGCCTTCTGTTGTGCTACATCTGATCAGGTGTTGCTTGAAAAAAGCAACACAGCGTTTTTCTTTTTTCTTTTTTTTTTTTTTTATTTTGAGAAGGCAAAATTGCATATTTTGTGGGCTTAGAAAACCATGGAACACAAAGGCCTTTCTGTTGCAGAATGTTACTCAAGCTATACAGGAGTGAGCAACTTAACTTGCTGGTTATTCTAACATGGCTAACATGAATAATAACCTCAAAGAATGTCAAAGAAATAGCAGTCTTACTTAAAAGAGCACCACATTGGAAAGAGATTCCAAAATCAAAGCAATTCCGCAACTTTGCTGGTAATGTAACACATATGGTTGGAAAAACACACTTGCCAGCAAGCCAGAAGAAAAATGCTCAGTGAAAATTGATGGGTATGAATAAATTAGCATAAGCCTAGCATTGTGACTTGTTAGAGCAAAATGAAGACAGCTGTAGAATCTTCTCTTCCATTCTAGCAGTGTTAGCCATTAGCAAGCCATAGAGTAAAATGTAGTTCATTGCTGTTGTGTTTTCATCATCCATTGTTAAACAGCTTAACAACAACCCACAGCTCGCGGACCAACCTTCATCCATTGTTCTGTTCTTACTTTGTCAGGCCCTGTGTCTGTCGTTCTGTGTTTTGAAGCTAAGATGGCATCCTCAGAACAGATTTTCTGTTTCCCTTTCAGTTTGCTTTGTTTGCAGACTTCACATACTTGAGTGTCAGCATGTTGTAGGAATGGCAGGTTACACACATCCGTGTATGTATGCAAACAGATTTTCGAGTCCCTGGTGGCATTTCTGTTTTGTTGTAGTTTTGACTTTGAGAGTGTGGAGAGTACTGTGGAGAGTTCGGTGGACAAATCAAAGCCCTGGAGCAGGTCCATCGAGGACTTGCACAGAGGGAGCAACCTGCCATCACCTGTGGGCAACAGCATGTCTCGCTCTGGAAGGCATTCTGCACTGCGGTAAGTCCCTTGAATTAGGAGGTCATTTTGGAAGGATGCCCTAAGACAGCAGGATCTCACATTCACTGTGAGACATGGACAGTGTGTCCATGTATTATACTATACAGCAACCCAATTCCATTGACTCCTAATGAGAACTGCTTTGGCAGTTCACAAGATCTTGCTTTGTGCAGGTCTTAGATCTTTCAACAGCTTTTTGGAAGCACATACCTTGTTGGCACAGAAAGTGAGGATATTCTGGCAAATGATTGAGCAGGGTAGTCTTGTAGGTAGACATCTGTGAGAGCAGGTGGGTGAGGGCATCACGATGCAAGCACTGTTTCCCGGGCAGAAGAAGCACTTTGAGATCTAAGAATCTGAAGAAGCCCTGTGGTTGTTCGTTATGCTCTCTTGTTGTGCTTTCCTCCAGGGGTACTCAGGTGTGTGTTTCGTGAGGTATTCTCTTGTCACAGGTGCAGAATGCTGGCGTTATCATCCTTACTTGCAGAAAGACTTTCCATAGTGCTCCTTTTCTTAGGTGTTCTTCAGATGTAACTTCCTATTTCTTCATAAGACTTCCTTTAATCCATGCTGGTGAAATACTTTGTGCTAATGAAAGATTAGTGTTGTCAACCTGTGCTGCTCATGGGTGTAATATTACTGAGGTTGTTCATTCACACCTACATTCTAATGTTCTTTAGAGAACATCTTTGAGCTCCTAAGATTTGCTGTAGAGGAACTGTACTGAGAGTTAATTGTATCTTGGCGGATAAATCAAAACTGCCTATGAGATATTTATCCTCCGGAGCAGGGATGAGGAACATCAGGCCTGCGGGCCATGTAATGCCTGTGGAATCATTTGATCTGGCTCTACCAAGGCAACCACAGATGGGACTTGAAATGCAGTAAATCTATAACAGACTAATTTTTAAGTTGATAATTTTATATGGCCCATGCGTGGTGTTACATATATCTCAGTGGTCCATGGTAGAAAGCTTTCCCACCCATGATGGAGAGCTAGTTCATAAATTTGTGTGGTCTCAGTTCAATGAAAAATTTTATTAACACTCTCATTCCCAAATATTTCTTTTCAGCTTGGAAAGCTTCTATCTCTTATTCTAGATGTGATCTGGCAAGCAGTGTTACTTACTTAAGTGTGATGTTCAGCAAGTGAAAGAGGGTCATTGTACTAGAGTCCTGACATCAGATGCCAGACAGTGAAAATGTTGTTATTGAACCATGTGAACTTGGTTGCCTTTTAATTACCACTTTCTCCTTTGACTCAGGTTCTGATCACACAAAGCTAACAAAATTCTCCATAGTGAAGTTCAGGTCTGCTGAAGGATTCACATTTGAATATAACACCTCTAATAAGCCATCCAAGATTTCCTTGGTTAGTTATTCCAGAAATGTTCATGAGTTAGAATGATGAATTCAATAATAAGAAATTGGTTTAATCACCCCTTGGGATTTGCCATAGGCCAACATCTGTACCACCTGGGAGTTGGCACCAACTTCCTATGTGGGCAGGGGATAGATGGACTGATTTGAAAGTTAAAGTGAAGTTGTGTCCAAGGAACTCCTTGAGCACACACAGGTGTGCTCAGAAATGACCAAGAAACCAATATCGCATTCTTCTGCTTTGTGTTCAGTTTCATGCTCAAGAATGAAATACTTGGATTTCTTTGATTGTACTTCAGCATTTCTAGGAACTCAGAGTCACCCTGGCAATTACATGTATTTTATTGGCTTGAAATGCTGATTTAAGTTGAGTCTTTTAAGTTTGCATCAATTTCCCACCTCTTGGAGCTTGTGGATTTGTGGCTGAATTCCTGTCCAATCCTATTTGGTCCTTGTGCAATATCTATGACTTTTAGAAATAGCACAGGCATGTTGTACATGTTGCTTTTCATGTATGCAAAGATCAAGCACAATTTTGTTTTCCTTGTCCTTCCCTTTGTGGTATTCCTTACACACCCTTCACTTTTTGTCATCGTCTCGCATTCTGTCCGTCTCCTCTTTTGCTTTGTCCCTTCTGATCCTGCTGTCTCCTCTTCATGAGGTAACACTCACGTCATACCCCTACCACCAGACTAGCCTTGCCCACGTGTCTCAGTTAAGGGCCCACAGAGCCGCTGCTTCGCTGCGGCCTCTGGGGCAGCTTCTCTTACTCACTGGAAGTTCAGTTCAGTTTTGTTCTTTTTATTTTTTTCAGGCATGTTTGTCTTAGAAGTGCTGATAAGATTATAAACTTCTTCCCACTTTGCCGCCTTCTCATTTACACAAATCAATGCTGATTTTATAGCCTTCATTAGTAAGAGTCACTGTTGCATTTTATTCTGCAATTTTCCTTTTGTTTGATTTTGTTGAGTCAAAATTTTCCCTCTGGAGGTATTGAAGAATTTGACCCACTATTAGCATGGGATCCAATTTTTTAAAGGGGAAGAGAAAAAAGCTATAAGCATTTAAAGTATGTTTTTTCCCAGGCTTAACTTCCCTCTGCTCACCCGTGATGTGATTAAAATTTTCATTATAACCTCATTTAAGAGGAGAGAAGATACTATTAAGGAAGTAGAATTTAAAGTTGCACAAAATGCAGTGACCATACATAAAACAGATACTCTAAATTTGGAAGAACTTGCAAAAATAATGTGTAATTACCAACTTGACTTTTCAGTTATCACATTAGCAATCAAATAGCCAGAAGAGTTGAGTTACTGCATTTTTGAGTTTTGTTTGTTTGTTTATTGAAAGTTAATAAAAGGAGAATATGTACACTTGTGTTAAAAGTTTACAATCTGGGCCTGATGCAGTAGCCTGGTGGCTAAAGTCTTCGCCCTGTATATGCCAGGATCCCATATGGGCACCAGTTCTAATCCCGGTGACCCTGCTTCCAATCCAGCTCGCCCTAAACCCATGTGGGAGACCTAGAAGAGGTTCTGGGTTCCTGGCTTCAGATTGGATCAACTCTAGCCATTGCGGCCACTTGTGAAGTGAATCAGCAGACAGAAGATCTTCCTCTCTATCTCTCTTCCTCTCTGTGTGTCTACCTTTCCAATAAAAATAAATTAAAAAAAAAAAAGAATTTACAATGCAGCTTTGTAACTTGAAGTTTATTATAATGGTTCTGGTATTGAGAATGATGATATCTTTAATTATAGCTCATGTACATGCCAGCTTCTTAGTTTCTAAGCATTTCCCACTATAAGACAGGTGTATTTGCTTGATCATCCTTTTATTGGTTCCTTTCTCTAAGAAACAATTGACAGAGTCTGTGTGGAAATGGGAAAACAAGGCACCTAGCCGATGTGTTATGAATTGTTAGATTGAAGGGAAAGTAGGTTCTAGGACTTGTTTCATGTGTTGTGAAATTCAGTTAAGAATTGTTGGGGCTCCCATTGTGCTATAACAGAGCCACCCCTACAACACTGGCATGCCATATGGACACCAGTTTGATTCTGGTACTGAAATGTTCTTGTTGCCTCTATTTCCCAGTAGAGGACCAGAATGCAGCTAGAGCAGAGCTTATGATCACAAGGTCTCTGTACATGCTTTCCAAACAGTGCTCTGTTTCCAACTCAGCTCCCTACTATAATGGCCTGGGAAAAGCGGCAGAAGACGGCCCGAGTGTTTCAGTCCCTGCCACTTTCATGGAGACTTGATGAAACTCTTGGCTTTGGCCTAGCCCAGCTCTGGCCATTGTGAGTGTCTGAAGTGAAATAAGAGATGGAAGATCGTTATCTCTATCTCTCCCTCCTTCCTTCTTCCCCTCTCTCTTCCCCTTTCAAATACATAGTAAATCTTTGTTTATTTTTAAGAAAGGATCATTCACTGACACAATTGTGAATATTTATTAAATCAGACAGTGAAAATGACTGCAAAATTTTCCAGCCATGATCTGTAGTTTGTTCAAAGCCAACATTTGGGTACTTGATTTGTGAATAGTACCTTACCAAATGCTAAAGATACAGAAAAATATATTGAATATTTGTATATGACAGAAGGAACTTTTAAATATTTTTCACATCTTCATGAAGTCTTTGGGAGGCATTCAAGGATTTGTAGCCCAATTTACGGATGAAGAAATTTATGTGCCAGTTAATAAGCACCATACCCAAGATTGATAATCAGTCTTCTGACTTATTTCTCCTGTCACAGGATTACCACCAAAACTTAGGACAGAGAAGGCCAGAGACCGGAGTGAACCAAACCTAGGGTGAATTCTTGAGGCTTGGATTCTGTAGGAAATAGCAGTGAGTGACTTGGAGTGACTTTGGAGGAGTGACTTGCAGCAAGGGACATGGTGTGAATAGTGGGTAGGTGGACAGACTCCACTGTTCACTTAATAAAGTAAATAGATGTGTCTGACTGGCAGTGGTTTATTAACAGTTTATATAATGTGATGGCATCCAGGCTGTGCAATTGTTTTTTTTTTTTTTATTTATTGTTGCTTACATTATATTATGTAGTACAGTTTTATAGGCGCTGGGGATCCCCCCCACCCCTCCCATACCCCTCCCCCCATGGTGGATTCCTCCACCTTGTTGCATAACCATAGTTCAAGTTCAGTTGAGATTCATTGCTTGCAAACACATGCCTAGCATAAAGTTCAGCGTCTTATTGTCCAGATAAGTTCAGTGGCCTCTTGGGGAGACCTTCTATGGTCTGAAGATAGGTCTAACAGAGTAAAGATCCAGTCAGTTAAAAGCCCCAACAAGGCCTCAGTATCATTATACAACATTATGGAATTAATTGACATAGTATTGGGTAAACAATGTTAAAAATAATGCAAGTTCCATTCTTCGAAACATCTGGGTTGAGACAGTATCAATGACAGGTTCAAAAAATAACATACAACCAAACAAAAAATTACAGGTTAAATCAAGGCAAACATGTGGTATCTAATCTTTTGGGATTCGCTCATTTCCCTTAGCATTATAGTTTCCAGTTGTGCCCATTTAGCCACAAAGAACTGCATTTTGTTTTTTTTAATAGCTGAGTAGTATTCCATGGAGTAGATG